CTCTCCCTCCCTCCCTCTCTCCCTCCCTCCCTCCCCCCCCCTCTCTCTCTCTCTCTCTGTGTGTGTGTGTGTGTGTGTTGGGGGTCGGATATGACACTCTCCAGAAGTCAGCAGGCAGAGGAGAGAGAGGTTCTGGTGAGGATAGTGCTGAAGAAATCCAGGTACACTCTTAGAGCACTGGTCCATGACCTTGGAACCATTGCTCAGGGTCTAAAACCCTCTGGCTAAGGCAATTTAAGGTGTTTTCTGACTGTCAGTGTCCTCCAGATTTTGATGGCTTCCACATGGCCTTCAGGTCCTCTGAGAGCTGGCTTTGTCTGCACATTGAATGTTGAGGAGTCCTAAGCTATAGGGAACATGAATACCTGACAGGAGCACACAGTTCAGAGCAGTTGTGGACTCCCCCTGACTCTAATTCTATCTCACCCCCTCAGCTGTAAGGGCAATAGGCTGTCTAGATGTTATACAAAGAGGAACTATCATGCCTGGAGGAGCTGCCAGGGCTGGCGCCCCTGGGTGGGCATGAGGATACCAGAGCCAACTCCATCCTACCAGCACTCTCAGTCTGTTGGCCTTGGAGCTCACTAGGCTTGTGAAAAGGTTGGTTAGATTGTGACGGCTAGAAAGGGACAGCACAGGCTCTGGGAACGTGGTGCAGGGCAAGCAGTCATACATGGTGGTGGTGGCTGCATTGGGCCATGGTTTAAGTGCCCCAAACACCCCAACCAGGAATGACCAGTCTCTGAGGCCTGCTGACTCTCAGAGCTTCTAGATAAAGTGGGGACTGGAAGCTAGGGCAAACACATGTCCCCACAATTCCGTAGTGCCCCCAGGAAGCAGGGCACACAGCAGGATCTCTTAACAGGCTGAGTCAGTCTGTTTTCCAGAAGTTTCCAGCATTCTAAACAACTTAGGGAAGATAAGAACATACTGACAAGCTCCCAGGTTGGGATAGGACCCAAGATTCATCTCTGTCTAACCATTCTGGGGGTCAAAGTCTCCAGATACCCTGGTATGACAGGAATAAGCAGGAATGGTAGGAGAACTCAGTGGCTCAGTTAGGAAGCTTGTCTGTGGTAGGGGGACACGTCCCAGGGATGTAGCTGGGCCTGCATGGGGAGGGGAGCAAGCTACTCCAAGTCAGAACTCTCTGATGGGAGGTGGGCAATGCTGGCTGAGACACAGCAGGAAGTGAGTGGGTGACTGCCCACAGTGTGGCTGTTAAGTGGTGTCCAACCTTAGCAGTGCCCAGGCTTGGTGCTGCCCTGCCTGCATTCCCAGCCTCCTGTAGGAGCTGCTTCCCAGCCCCCTGGCCCCTGGCCCCCCAGTCCTCGGCAGAGAGGCGCCCCCACTCCCACACCTGTGCAAACATCCGCCCGCCGGCCGGGAACACGGCCCCTTTGTGCCCAGCTTGGCACCGGTGCTCCGGCCTACTCTGTCAGCTGCAGCCCGGGCCTCTGCCACCCTGCACCCTGGACTGGCCATTGTTTCCATGAGGCCCTGTGCCCTTGGCTGCCGGGCCCCCCAGCACCCAGCTTAGGGGGCCAACAGCCCCCATTCATTCAGCGGCTGTCTCTGCAGCTGTCTGGTGGGAGCAGCCCAAGGCTGTGTTCCTGGCACCTCTAGGGTAATCAGAACTTGAGTGCTGCAGGACAGGGGCAGCCGGGCTCAGAGTTCTGTAGCCTTGTGCCAATGAACAGTCATCTCCTTTGTCTCCTCTCATTCCTCAAGGGGAGTATGGCCCCACCCTACCCTGCTCCTGGTCTCATCTGTATAAGGGGGGGGCGTGTGAGCACCCACAGGTGAAAGAGTTTTCTGAAGGCCAGACCCCTCTACTATCTGCTGTATCTGCCCCAAGTCAGGCCTCAAGCCCTGTCCCCAATCCGGCTGGATCCCGGGAACTGAACTAGCTTCCCCTAAGGTACAGTGAGATAGGACTGGGCACAGAGGCATGCCTGTATGGGTGGGAACACCTCTCACTTTGTTAGCCTTCAGAGGCTGTGTTGAAGCTGAGGGTCCTTGGCTGGCTAGTGTTTGTTCCCTGAGCAAGTAAACCAGATGAATTAAGGCAGGACAGCCTGTTCATTGCCAGCAGGTGGATTCGGTATGTTCTGTTCTGTAGAGAACCCACAGCTTTGAAGACCAGAGTCTTGAGACTGAGGCATGGGCAGAGCTATGCTCACTTGGAAGGCTCTGGGGGAGGGGGCTTTCATTATTAAGTCTGGTTTCTGTGGCCTGAGCATCCTGTGTTGTTCCTTTATGTTTCACATGGACACATGTCACTGGATTAGAATCCATCCAGGGGACCCAGAAGGAAGGCTATAATTCTGAATCAGAGCATAGTCTCTCTGTGTGTTGCGGGGGGGGGGGTTGTTGAGCTGTGTGGGGGACACACTTAAGTCCAGAATGTAGGTATCCAGTATTTTGTGGGGTTGCCTGTCTTCACAGACCATGGGTTCCCACAGCTGGAAAGCAAAGGGACTGTGTCCCCTTCCTCTGGTGTGAGGTCCCAGAACCCTGCCCTCCCCCCAGTGTAGTGTTCAAGTGTGACTGTGAAGCGTTTGGGGAGCTCCTCAGACTTTTCCTTTACCTCTGGGACAGAATGCATTTGTTTGTATTACGGTTTGAGTGCAGGAAAAGCCGTTTCTGCAAACACAGCTCCTCTGTTTAGTGCCTGGGGGTCTCTGAAAACAAGCGGCTGCTGGGCTCTGTTTACCCCGAGTGGATAAACACAGAACTTCAAGTGAGCAGGCTGGAACCCCACCCTGTATTCAATTCCCCTAAAAAACCCAGTCTGACAGCACTTCATTCCTCACCTGGAGACTCTGGAAAGTTCCCACCTCCCAGACTGGACTGCATCCTGCAGAGTCAGGCCAGAGGGGCCTCAGGGTAAGGAGGTCTCCTAGCCGGTCACATGCAAGCTTTGTAGAACTCTCCATGGGAGGCATCATTCTTCAGGACTATTCTGACTATGGAGACATGAAAGCCAGAGCAGGGGCCAGGGCTTGAAGCTCTCAGCCTTTTCCTCTTCTATGTAGGTTCTATGAGTATCATGCAGCAAAGGTTGAGGGCCTGCTAGGACCCTTGCTAGCTCTCCCCAAGGAGGGATCTTTATAGGATTACTAGGAGTCTATAAAGCATGCCCTTCTTGTGGTTGTTGTTCAGTAGCCAGTGCCTACAAGATGTGTTACATAGATTCAGCAGGTCTGGTGATGGTAGTACACAGGGTTTTAGCTCATGCCATCGAGGAGGTGCCTGTACAAGTTTCAGCGATAGAGTTTCCCAGATATCCTGCAGGAAGCAGACAACATCAGAAAGTAGTGAAACATAGAGGTACAGGGGTGACACAATGTGAGGCCGACATAGAGACCAAGCTGTACTCACATTCCATGTCCACAAACATCAGCTGTGTGACCCTGGGTATGTCAACTAGACTCTTTGGGCACACCTAATCCATAAGTATAAATAGGGGTTAAGTCAGTGAACGGGAAGGAAGCTGACCTCTAGCAATGATTGTGATCAGAGATTCTGGGAAAGACCACCTCCAGACTCAAAAGGAGAGGATTAGGTACCACTAGTTCCAGAAGTCAGGGACTACTAGTTCCGGAAGTCAGGTACCACCACTGGTTCTGGAAGTCAGGTACCCCTAGTTCCAGAAGTCAGGTACCACTAGTTCTGGAAATCAGGTGCCACTGGTTCTGGAAGTCAGAGACCAGAAGTTCAGGAAATCAGGTACCAGTAGTTCCAGAAATCCTTCCAGTCTCTTGGGAGCCTGTTCAGGAGGATGAGGGGGACCATGAACCATAGCTGCCCCACAGGTTCTGTCCCTGGGCCAGTGATCTGTGAACTCAAGTGGGTATGGTTCAGGTGATCTACTATTGGTTGGGTCCTAGAAAGGTCTCCTATGTTCATTGGTCCAGGAGACTTGCAGATCTGGCTGTGGCATACAAGTTCTAGACAGCTCTATAAAATGTCTCATTCCTGAGTTGCTGTTTCTGTGATTACAGGAAAAAACAACTTGACAGAGACAGGCCACCTGGGAGTGAAGACTCATGAACTGGACTAGGAGGTCTGTGGTGGCCCAGGAGAAGGACAAGGGTCCTAGTAGTTTAGGTGATCTCCAACAGGGGACTGGCCAGCACTGCACTGGAGTCTTTCTTCTGCTGATCCTAGAAGTGAAGGGGGCAGTTAAGACCTTAGGGAAAAGGCATGGGCATGGCCTCAGGTCTCTGCTGCACAAGTGTTTCCTCCCCATTCACCTATGTTTCTTCCCAGCTTGCCATCTAGACCATTACCTTTATAGATGTTTTCCTTCCTTTCTTCCCCCTTTTTTGGGGGTGGGGTGGGGACTGGGTTTCATGTAGCCCAGACTAGCCTCAAACAAACTATATATCCCAGATGACCTTGAACTCTTGCTGGCTGCAGCCCAGGCCTGCCTTTATAAGTAGCTCCTGACATGAGCCTGGCTCCCTAGAGAAGGCAGCTGTGAGCCAGCTCTCACATGTGGGGTGCAGGCCCTCTGGGAAGACACCACTAGCGAGGAGCTTCAGCTCCCTTGGGCCCTCTCATCCAGCAGCCTGCTGGCAGCCATGCCCTCAATCCCAGGAGTGGCTTGACTTCAACTTACATGATCTGAGCTGTTTCAGGTGTGTGTGCATATAAGATGTCTGGGAAGCATGTGCCCTGGCTGTCATACATGGGTGTGACCTCTAGACCTCTTTGTGAACTTATGTACATCCTCATGGTCCCTCAGCTCTGTCAGCAGTGTGTGCTCCCAATTGTGTATTCAAGTGCAAGCGGGTGTCCCTGTCTCCATGTGAGGCACGTTTACAACTGTATGGCCACATATGTAGAACAGGGTGGTCCCTTAAAAGGGCCCAGCCATGAATGGTTTGCTATGCCCTCTGTTTGTGTAGGGTGTGGGTTTGTTTAAGGATAATGACACTGTGGGGAAGATTCCATGTGGGCAGTTGTGGGAAACACCAGTATGCAGCCTCTACAGCCTGGTGCAGCACTGAAGGGCTGGCCCAATGGTGGCTTGGCCCCAACTGTGGCTTATTCTGTTGTTTGCCAGCCAGGGAAATTAACATGTTGTTTCATGACCTGTTAGCATATTGGCCAGAATGACAAACTTGGCACTGTGGGGTTACTCCTGCTGTCCTTGTCCTCTGCTCCGCTGCTGTAGTTGCTCAGAGTGCTTGCCTGTGCTGTGAGCACCTATCCCCATATCCACTCACGTGTATCCTCTAGTCACCTTTGACTCCCATAACTCTCTTGCCTTTCCCTCCCCCCCAGTGGCCACTGGGGAACGGCAGTGGTCCAAAGTACAGTCTGTCTGGGAATGGAGCGGGCAGTGATGGCCAGGAGGGAACTTGGGGCTTCCTCTCTGGGCCTCACTTCAGTTGGAGTTTATTAGATTGTGCTCCCCAGGCCCAGTACTTGCTGACCCTGTTGGGCAGGGGTCACTTAGGGGTTCTCATGAAGATCTTGGCTGGGTTGTTGTCACTTGGCCCCTGGAGTGACAGCTTAGGTGTCTAGAGTGAGCAGGCTATGAAGACGTTGAATGGGCAGGTTCTCTGATCACACTGACCTGTCTTAGCTGCAGGGCTGATCTGGACAGTGTGTTGTGACCCCAATGACTGTGTGAGAGTGTGTGTGACCACCCTAGTCTCCCCAGCAAGCCCAAGGCAGCCTCATGGTGTGACCTAGCAGTTAGGCACAGCCAGGGTGGGCCCCCAAGTCCCTCATCAGAGGCCTCAGGAGCAAACCTCAGATGACAGCAGGGGGTGGCCTGGGGGGGGCAGCCCCTCACTCCTATTGTCCCACTGCACACCCTGGACGCTGCTCTCCCACCGAGAAGAAGGCTAGAGCCTTGTCTTATTCTCTCTGAAAAGAAAAAATGAAACATCTGGATCCCTGGGCTGGTGGCAGGAAGCAGCATGTCAGCCCCATCGTGGGGTTTTGTGGACTGCTGGCCTCAGTGGGAGCTTCCTGCCTCCTGGGGGCCAGTGTACTGCAACTTCGGTGGCCAGGACAGGGCTCCTTGGGATGGGGCAGGAAGCCTGGCCCCTGTGGGTGGGCTCTGAGCTGTTTGCCTGTCCTGCACACCCCAAGCTCTCTGCAACCAAACGGCTGTGCCATCTGTGGTAGTCAGAGTTGAGGGACTAAGGAGACAGAAACTTGAACCAGCTTACCACAGTGCTGTCCCTGACATTTCTCAGGACTACAACTCACTATTATGGTGGATAGGGTTTTAGGTTGTCTCTCTTGTTATCAAGACACTGGGTTGGGCCTGGCAGGTGTCCTTTCTTGTTTTCAGCCCACCAGCCACTGACTTCAGTCCTTCTTCCTTGCAGGTCACAGTCACCACTATTGGCTACGGGGATAAAGTACCCCAGACATGGGTCGGGAAGACCATCGCCTCCTGTTTTTCTGTCTTCGCCATATCCTTCTTTGCACTCCCAGCGGTGGGTGCCCATCTGGACCCTCTCCCTTGTTTCCTATGCATCCTGGCCCCAACTCCTGAGCATCCCTTGAAATAGAGTAAGAGGCAGCCTGTTGTGGCACTTGACTAAAGCAGTAAGGGGAGCAGATGGGCCAGAACCTGTAGTCCTACTCTGCAGCTAGGAGTGGCACTGTCTCATGACCTTTCCAGAAATCACAGACATGTGTGCTATGTGGGATGCACACTGGTTACTTGTATATATGTGTCATTGTAGGTGTGTCTTATACATGTTGTGTGTATATACTGTACATATCTGTTGAATGTATAAGTATCTGTGTTGCATTTGCGTAGCATATTTACCATATGTTCTGTGTGTGTGTACGTGTGTTATTTATGTATGTATTTGTGACTTCATGGGTGTCATGTGTACACATATATTTGTACATATGTTCCATGTCTATATAGTATCTGTTGCATGAGTCTCTATAGCACATGGGAGATAATGCGTGCTCATGTGTCTGTTATTTGTGCATGTGTAACATATAGACATAGGTCATGACATAGTGTGTGTGTCTCCTGCATGGCCCCCAGCTGCTAAAACAGCAGTCTTTCTCTGCCACTGCTCTCCTTGCCACCTGGCTGCAGTAGCTGTGGGCTCCTTGCTAAGGACAGCTTCAAACTCCTGCTCCCCTAGGGTGTGGTTCCTCTACCCCAGGGGCACAGGCTGATGGCTAACCCATCTGGCTTCTCACAGGTGGTGCCTAGGAATGGGTAGAGAGACTCAGGTCTCTTTTGGAGCCAGGCTTCATGTTGAATCAGCCTTGTGAAGTGGGGTCTGCCTCCCCAGGTGGCAAGGTCAGACAGGCTGAGCCTAGCAACTACCCTCAAGTGAGATCTGTTGTGTCTCATACCTACCTCCTGGTAGTGCCTGTCTTGTCATAGCCCTGGGCTGCTGTGCAAGCCTGGTCCCCATGTGCTTTTTGTCTCTCACTCTTTCTTGGGACCTTTGTCCTCTGCTGGGTACGGGCCAGCATGGCCCATGTGACAATGGATACCTTCTGTCCCTTACCAGGGGATACTTGGCTCTGGGTTTGCCCTAAAGGTCCAGCAGAAGCAGAGGCAGAAGCACTTCAACCGGCAGATCCCAGCGGCAGCATCGCTCATCCAGGTATGTGCTATGGCTGGTGGGCTGTCTGTGCTATGTGCTTGGGCAGTGGAACCACTCCCAGCCATGTCCACTGCCAGAGAGGAATGGGTCCTTTTGCCGTGGCTCCTCCCATGGTAAGGTGGCTTTCTAGGGAAGTACCCGCTGTTGGGGTGGCAGGATGGGCATAGAATGCAGGACTATCACTGTCCATACTATTCCCATTGAGGGCCAGACTTGCAGGCTAGGTTGAGTCCTGACCATGGCTACTCAATCAGTCTTTACTCCTCCAGTCATCTCTGGGGACAGGGACAAGTCAGAGGCCCAGTGGGATAGGACCCAGCCTGTACAATGACAGTGCCTCTGGGAGGCCTGGCATCTCTTAGGAGCTGTGGTCATTGGTGACAGTAGTTTGTACAACCGTCAGATAGCACAGGCCATGTCTCGGAAGGCTGGGAGTTAGGGGACGACAGAGCCTGAGAGCAACAGGGCAAGAAGGTTCTAAAGGTAGCTGAGGAGAGAACTGGACTGCCCTTTGATGCAAAGAAACCTGTTGCAAACTGGGTCTCGGTGTTTTTATTGCTAACAGAGCTGAGGAGTGGTCAGGTGAGGGCCCAGAGCATAGATGTTCTGCATGAGCCAATATAGCCTGGATGTGGACGTAATTCTCTAACCAGTGTAATGGCTACGATCACTGTGTGAACTCCCCTAGATCAAGTGGAGCTGTCCATATAGGGTGTGCATGAGACACAGCCCTTGGTAGGGCCTCCAAACTGTCCCAGCTCATAGTTATCCCTGTCTGAGTTTTGCATCTGTGCTAGATAGAGTGGGGCTGTTGCCCAGAAGCCTTGCCAGCACATAGAACTTTTAACTAGTTTTACTTTCTTATGCTCATAGGGCCTGTAGTAACAAAGCTACCATGATATGCCTCCATAAGAGGCTCTGGCATCTGTTCCTTCCTCCTCTTGCTCCCTTGGCTCCTTGGAACCGTCCAGTGTCTTTTCCAGGTCACCTTGCTGTGATGACTATGGGGAGGGCTTGTCCCTCTAGAATGTTAGCCAAGAGCTTTATTTGTAGCCATCAGAGACTCCTCATAGCCACAGGCTAGGACTTGAAGGCCCCGGGAGGCCTCACCTCCCACTGGTCCCTGGAGCCTTACTCCACACCCTGCTCACACAGGCCTGGGCAGCCCCTTCCCACTATCCTTCTCTGGGTAAACTCTGGTGGTGTTGGTTGTTTTTACTCTTTTACTCTTGCTCTTTGTTCTTTTGGGGGGCCAGCCACCCAGCTCCCAAATAAGTCACACATGGACAGAGGCTTATTTTTACTTGTAAATGCCTGGCCTTAGCTTGGCTTGTTCTTAGCCAGATTTTCTTAAATTATCCCATCTACCTTTTGCTTCTAGGCCTTTTTTCCTTTTCTTACTTCTAAGTATCTTACTTTCACTCTTACTCCATGGCTGGCTGTGTGGCTAGGTGACTGGCCCCTAGCGTCTTCCTCTCCTTGTTTTTTCATTCCTCCCTCTTATTCTCTCTTCCTGCCAGCCCCGCCTATTCTTTCTCTTGCCTCACTATTGGTCATTTAGCTTTTATTAGGCCAATCAGGCGTTTTAGACAGGCAAAGTATCACAGCTTCACAGAGTTAAACAAATGCAACATAAAAGAATGCGGCACATCTTTGTATCATTAAAACAAATGTTCCACAGCATAAGCAAATGCAACACACCTTAAAATAATTTTCCACAACACTTTAGTTGTCTAACTTTCTTAGTTGATACGTTTAGGGCTTGCTTCAGGTCACTCTTCAGCAGGGACTAAGGTAATAGGCGAAGGTCTTGGTAGCATCTGAGCTATGACTGATAGATAGCTGATACATGAGGTAATACCCTTCTGAGCCCTACAGGGCCAAGTCCTGCTGTCAGGGAAGGGGCCTAGGAACAAATTGGGGAGCTGAAGATTTTCCAAGTGCTACCTTTGAGTGCCTGGATTAATGACCCCTCTCTCGTTTCCCCTCTGCCTGATATCAGACTGCATGGAGATGCTATGCTGCTGAGAACACTGACTCATCCACCTGGAAGATCTATGTCCGGAAGCCTTCCCGGAGCCACGTTCTACTGTCCCCCAGCCCTAAGCCTAAGAAGTCTGCCATGGTAAGCAGCCTTGCCAGCCACCAGGATGGGGACTGCATATTAGCAGTGCAGGAAGCTGGAGAGGCTGAGCATGAGACCCTGGGTATTGCTATTGAGGGTAGGACTCATCAGGGTACCACGACCACTCTGAGGTCAGAGGAAGTCTGACTTGATCCCTGCTGTTCTCATGTCCTCCGCTGTTGGAGCCATATTGGACTGGCCATGCCAAGACCAGGATAGGTCTAAAGAAAGTGCTTCCAGAATAGGTTGGGCTGGCTCTACCAGTTCCTAGAAGAAAGCTCTTGAGAGGACCCTGGTGCTGGTTTCCCTTGGTTGGGTAAAGCAGGCAGAAGGGGAAAATATTGGAGCTCTTGACTATGGAGGAGAAGTTCCAGCAGCTGTGGGCTCCATCTGCCTGGAGCACTGAGGAAAAGGTGGGGGTTCTTCCTTTCCCAGCTGTCACCCTCACTTTCCTTAAAGAGACAACCTTCCCAGCTTCCAACTGTCACTGGACACTTGAACTTGCTCTTCCCTGTGTCTGGATGCTGTCCGTGGCTTTACTCCCTACTCCCCCACTGTCTCTAGGAGACCTCTTTAAAGAGGCTCCCATGCTCCCAGTGTACCTCCCACCACGTTCTTTGCTGCCTTGGCCTTCAGCCATACTGTCCTGGTGTGAGCTTGCATATTTTTGTTTATCTGCCCACCTTTCTTAGGCTGTGGCTCATAGAGGGCCAAGCAACACCCTGACTCCTCCAGCAGCAGCAGCACGCTGAAGCCTCACTCCACCAATGTTTGAGGGTCCTGGAGCTCAGCCCCTGACCCAAGTTCCTTTGAGGGTACATATTTCAAGGCAGAACTTAGGACTCTACAGGGGCTCTGGGGACTGGTTGATGATCTGGCAGGTGTTGCTCAGGAACCGTCACTCATCATGTGGACATTTTAGGTAAAGAAGAAGAAGTTCAAGCTGGACAAGGATAACGGAATGAACCCTGGAGACAAAATGTTCAATGTCCCTCACATCACATATGATCCCCCAGAGGATCGGAGGCCAGACCATTTCTCCATTGATGGCTATGATAGCTCAGGTAAGCAAGCTCACATGTGTGTTAGGGGCAGGGCATTCAGTGCTGGCTCTGAAGCAGCATCAATCTAGCTTGGGGAGCTCCCATGCCACCCATTCCCAGACCTCTCCTGGCACTCTGTCCATAGGGCCCCATGGCATATACATAGGCAATGCCTACCTTGGGAGCCCAAGCGAGGTCTCTGCTACAGGAGGATGGAAGGCAGAGTAGACCTGGAAGCTTCTGGAAATGTTGATGCCATGTTCCCCTTTTCCCCAAGGAGGTACTCACTACACAGTCTGTTAAGAGGATGCCTTACAATGTTGGGGGTCAGCATGGCCACAAGAAGGAAGGTGACACAGATGTCCTATTCACTGGACTTCTCTCTTTCAGGACCCAAGTTCTGTGTTTGAAAACTAGTTAGGGTGACCTCTTAGAGGTTTGTCCACTGACAGGGAAGTGCAGAGGTGAGGGTGGTAAAGGTGAGAGCTCTGTAGGCCCTGGAGGGCCAGCGACTAGGTGGTGAAGTCATGGGGACATATGGCATTGGGGTCAGCACCTTGATGAACAGACATTTCTTATGCAGCCCTAGGTTTGTATCTGGTGTTGCCAGAGCTATTCCTCTATATTCATCCTACTGTGGGGCTTGGATGAGGCCAGGCATATGGGTCCTGGTGATAAGAAAGCAGACCTGTCCAAGGTTTGGATGCCTGGGTCTTGGTTCAAGTTTTGCCTCCGTTAAGCCACAGAGAGGCTCTGTAATACACATGTGAGAAGGGGACTCAGAGAGGTCAGACATATTTTCTAGTCCACACAGTGGAATATGGCATGCCCCCAGATGTGCCTCTGGATCACCAGCTATGGAGCAGATAGGCTGTGGATACTCTTGACACATCCTTCCTTTGGTCTGGAGACCCCCCTTATCAGGTGACCACAGCAGGAGCACAAGGTATCCAGTGACCAGAGAGACTTCTCTGGAGGTAACATGCTGTTTCCATTATCATGGCATACTGTCAAGCACTTTCCCACAAGACAGGACTTTATAGGTCTAGGATTCTCATATTCCTGGTCCCAGATGCAAAGTGGACATTCTGAGCTTGTAACATAACCCTTGGGAGACAGCACAGGTGGCTGTGGAAGGCACCCACTTCTCCCTGCAGCTCTCATATCTCTCTGGAAGCTTCAGTGCCTAGCTCAGGGTGAATGACTGAATTCTCTAGCAGCTGTCTATAACTCAATTTAAATGGTTCTGGTCTTTTTCTTCCTCTGAATCAGTGTGGGTATTGAGATAGTGATCTGTCACTAGGACCGGGATGTGGCTCAACTCACCACATGATTTTTGCCCAGCATCTCCTGGGAAGCCCCTTACAGTATCCTGCTGACCGATTCCTCTCAGGACTATGTACTGAGATAAATGGTCCAGACAGCCCAGTGCAGTGATTGAGTCCTCTGACTCAATCAATTAGCAGACTGTTACATGGCAGTTGCTCTTCTAAAGAATCTGGATGAGGATGTGCAAGAAAGTTCTATGCAAATGTTTTTCTATTTTATCTAAGAGACCTGAGTATCCATGAATTGGGGAAATCCAGAAACCACTTCCCAAAAGACAGAGGAGAGACCTTGCAAATATTCTTAAAGTCTCTGCCCAAGATGGAGTCCTAGGTGGAGGAGAAATTTGACTGAAAGCACAAAGAAATGATGGTTGGGCCTCAGCACTTGAGGTTCGGGAGAGTCCTCTTCCACATGTAGTGGTGGAAGGTTGAGGCAGAGGAATAGGTGTTCATCTCGCTTCCCCCTTGACTACTTGCTCACTCCAGCAATGTTAGGCAACCCAGGGCCTGGTGCTGGCTCCTGTGCTCCTGATTTTGGCAGTCAGAATCCCGACTCTTGGTCAGAGTTGTTCCTGCTTTCTTTCAATGAATCACAGGCTCCAAGGGAAGGCTTCATTTGAGTGTCCTATTGGGGACTGGACATCCCATTTAGGTGTCTGGGCTGCTAAGAGTCATGGCCAACCCCATGTGCCATGTGGCCAGGTCTTGTGCCTGGCAGGAAATAGGCACTGATATTTCATCCTTGGTAGTATGGGAACTAAGGGTCCAGACCATCAATGTGTGTCCAACATGGTCTCCTGTGTTGATACTCTGCCTCTCTGTTGTACTATCATTTAGGTTTGTTCCCCTCTTCCCAGATTTCTTCCCAATTCCCGGGGCCTGCCAGTATGTTTTGGGACGAAGTAGAATGTTCCAGAAACTTCCAGCTTGTTGGCAATTGTAAGGACAGTTTCAGGTATAGCAGAGGGTGACCAACATTGTTCCTCATCCTTCTTTTCACAGGTGTCAGGGCCCCCGTCTACCAAGTTCAGCTTGTCTGAGGGCAGCTGACCTGTGTCCTGTGTCACTGTTCCCACCACTACATCTTGGCAGGAGGGTGGGAAGTGTTCAAGAAAGGGGCTGTGGCGGTTCTTTGCTCCTGAAGGCTACCCTAGGCATTCCGTCTGTCAGGACCCAGCCTGGGCCCCACTCTACTGAGCGCCAAGCTGCTGCGTCCTCATCAGATGGCATGGGGATTTGGCTCAGGGCTGGCCACATCTCCATGAGCCCCTGGGACATACTCCCCGCCTGCCCACTGGAGCGGGCACAAAGGGCAATTGTGCCAACAAATGCCCAGTGCCCCTGCAGCTCTGCTTCAGGGGTAGGACCATTGTCTCAATGCAAATAGGGGCTTTCTGCTAATGCTAATGGGCAGGTTGGGCGTGAGCAGAGGCGGCAGGGATGCAGCCCTGTGCCTGCCCAGGAGAAGCATCACTCGATGTTTTGTGAATACGGGGCAGCAGTGTCCCTGCCGTCCATTCAGCCTGCTTAGTGTTATGAAGTCCGCAGTGATGTCTGTGGCATGTTAATGAGGTACACGAGCGGAGAAAGCAGCACTGCTTGTGGAATGCTCCCACACCGCGCCGTCTCTTTCTATTAATGAGATAAGTCAGCCTAGGCCAGAGCCACCATAGTTTGGAGACTGAGCCACTGGTCTGGCCCCGCTAAGGACCTGGGGCAACCCCTACCCCACCGGTTACCTGATATTCCCAAGTCTCCTTATCCAAGAAGCTCTTGGGAATCTTGAGCAGTCTGGCATGGAGACGGGGTGCTAATCCCAGTGGGGGAGGGATATCATCACTGGGAAAGCCCCAGAGTGTCTGCTCCCACGAGGCAGAGCCTAAGCAGTCACACTGACTTGTAGCGCCAGGCCAAACCAGGACTTGGACATCATCTGTGTGTGAGAACTAGGAAGCCATTATCTTGTCCTAGCATAGGACACATACCTATTCGTGGTGTGCAAAAGTCCACCTACACACAGTCCTTTCAGTGTATGCTGAAAAGTGGGATGCAGTGCTGTTCCCAATTAAAAGATGACTGAACAGAGCCCAGAATCTTTCAGGGACCTCCCAAGGACATGCATGTGTCCTAAGGAAACTCTTCTGGGCTCACCTATGAGATATGTGCAGGTATGGTGGACTAGGGCTGGTGGAAGCAGGGAAGGGAAGGGGTCTCTTTGTGGTAGCATCAGGGCCCACCCCACTCTGCAATGAAAATGGGGTATGTGCCCCCTTGTAGAGAAGCACTGTGAAAAGTAGGCAGGAGTCTGCTCCTCCCTCAAAGGCCCACCACTCTTGCCAGGATCTTGTGCCTTTAGTGGAAATGGGGGTAATGTCCACAGCTTAGAGAGGGCACAGGGAACTGTCTAGGCCTGAGAGGCATTGTCTCTCACTCTTGGTGGACTCAAGTCACATGACATTCAACTTACTAGCATTCAAAAGCGATTGATATCCAGGTCCAAGGAGGAAGTGCGGAGCAAGGCCCAGGGCTCTAGATGATGGAGAAGCCCGACATTGGTGACCTGACTATTACTGCCCATAGGGATCCTGTGGACTCACATGTGTGTAGATGGAAGTTTCTGTCCCGCCCAGTCCTGCAGCCCTTTAGTCCCAAATAAACACACAGAGGCTTATATTAATTATAAACTGTTTGGCTGATGCCTCAGGCTTCTTATTGGATAGCTCTCTCTTGTTAACCCATTTCTATTAATCTATGCATCCCCACATGGTCTTCACTTATCAGAGAATGCGTGGCCCTCTTTCTTCCATGGAAGCTACATGGCATCTCCCTGGCAACTCACTCTCTGAGTTCCTCTTCCCTGAATTATCCCAGACTGGTAGCCCTGCCTATAATTCCTGCCTGTCAATTGGCCAAAACAGCTGTATTCATTAACCAATAAGAGCAACATATATTCACAGCATACAGAATATATATCACTTGTGGGTTTAGTGGACATCTAACACACTGGCAGCCATTTATCAGAAATGGAGTGGAGACATTATATGCAGAGATCCTGCTGTGGGTAGGACTGGATTGTTCCCTCAAGTATGCTAGGTCTGCCAATGTGTGCCAAGTGGCAGCCCTGACTCCCAGGAATTCACAAAGCTGTCAGTGATAGGTGCTTTCTGGGTGTACTCTACTCCAAATCGGGTGCCTGTGTGTGAATTTCTATGGCCCCCACAGGATTACATTTTCAATGCTTTGCTGATCACTATCTCATGTAGACCCATCTCCTGAGCCCCATGAGACCTGGGTGTCTTCTAGGTGCTGTCATCCTACCTACCCCCCCCCCCACAATACACACATATGTAGGCTGGTATTGCCCAGTGTTTGGGTTTTGCCTTTTTAAACAATTCTCTGTATGAGTTATTCACATTACTACTGGTGTGCACCACAGAGGCTTGCTCACAGATTCAGCTGAATTTTCTTTTTCCAGGAATCTAGGCTTCTTCCATGGATGGTCTTGGTGAGGATTTAGCCATAGCTGGGTTGCATCTTTTAATTGTTCCTTGCTCGTGGATGATGGTTCAGTTGGGGAGAAAGTTACATGCACACACCTCTTTGTACATGGCCTTTTCACCCCTGGTAACTCTGAAAATTCTCCTTTGAGTTTAGTGTCATATAAACTACGATGTATCAAAGTGGTGGATCATT